ATAAGTACCCTAAATGTAGTTACCCCAAGTATAACCCTATTTATAACCTACTTACTATGTCCCATGATCCTCCAAGTATACCCCTGGGGATCTAAGGACTCATATATTAAAGCTTTCGGGCCCAAAGACCATACTATGTAAGGCTTTTGGGCTATTTTGATCCCCATGGGTAAAACCTACCGCTTTAGGGGGCCCTTATATGTGCCCGCGCTCCGCGTTCTCGACCCCCCCCCCCCCCCCCAATGGTATCCCCCCCCCCCGAGCCCGGCGACCACACAACAAGAACAAGAACAAGAACAAGAACAAGAAGAAGAACAGCAGCAACAACAAAGCAGCAGCAACCACGCGGAGGAACCACAGGAACCACAGGGGGGGAGGGGGGAGACAGGAACCAGAAGAACCACAAAAGGGAGGGGGAAAACCAAGAGGAACCACAGGGGGGGGGGGAACCACAGGAACCACAGGGGGGGGGGGGGGGAGGGGATTACCATGGGGGGGGGGGAGGGGGGGGGGGTCGGCGGATGCTGGCACATATATAAGTCCCTAAAATAAGGCAGCTTCTTTCAGGTCAAGACAAAGCCTGGCAAAAGTCCCCGGCTTCTGTGGTACCCGGAGACTCGGAGACCCTTCAATGAAGGCATTTACTGCAAAGGCTAAGGGTCCTGGGTCTAGGGTTTGGGGTCCCGTATTGAAACCTTCAATATTTTGAGAGTTTAGATAAGGGGTTCGAGAGTTTCGAGGTGGTGGATGTGCGCTTTGTTAGGATGAAGATGCGGTCCTCTAAATCCTCAAAACACGTTCGAAATCAGTGTGCGATCATCATTCGAATTGCCTGCTCCGTAAATCCGTAAACCATGTAAGCACAACATAACAAACTTCGAGAGCATGTGCTTTGGCTCCCTCAAGTAGCAGGATTTGCCCGCGTTGCTTCCACACCTGCAACAAGTGCGACTCCGTTTCCCGGCCAACGAGTTAGGATTCGGGGCGTTCAGGTCGGATGAGGGTGGGTTACCCATAGGCTCCATAGTAGCTCCTTTTCGGGCTTACCTTATAGGAATCTGAATATGAACCTCCCCAAAAACTGTTATGGAGCCTCTGGGTAATGGGGTCTAGGACGATTTTAGAGGTTTTGTTTCAGGGTTGAGGGTTTAGAGTTGAGATGGTTTAGTGCAACTTTACTACAGGTTGGAACCCTGAATGCTGCAACCCTGCGACGAACAAGGGGCTTTTGGGCTACAGGGGTTGTTTTGTCGGCAGATCTGGGATCACCGTGCCGAACCCCTTCATTAAACCCTGTACGACCCATTGGGATCTCTGAGGCTTGCCAGAACATCCTGGCAATGCTCGCGCGGGCCACCCCATAATCCGTACATCCCTGAGCTCTAACTCCGTCAAAGTTGAGCCCAAAATCCCCCACCCGCTTAAAACAACCCTATAGGCCCTAAGCCCCATACCCGAGATCCTAGACCCGAAACCCTAAACACAAACCCTGGACGCTAAACTTAACCCTGCAGCCCGCAAGAACCCTAAACCGTAGCCGTAGCCCTCCAAGCCTCAGGCCGACATCTGCAAGGAGTGCAAGAACTCCACGCACTTTCGGCTTACATTTTAGTGGAAGCCAGAAAGTTGGAACATGCTCATCCTTAAGGTAAGGTAAAGTACAAGAGATCCTAGGACTAATCCTCCTAAACCCATGTTCCAACTTTCTGAGGTTTGCTGTAAGGGTCCAGGTATCTATGTAGTAGAGAAATTGGCCCTAAAGTACCTACACAATGTAGGGATAGGGACTACTTCAAGGCCAAAGTATACATTAGATGTGGGTACATGGACCCTTTAGGTGTCAATCTCGGCCTCGTAGTTTTAGGGCTCCTTGTTTTTTGAGTTGGTTGGTGTGTGTTATTTTTGGGCGTGTGTGTGTGTGTGTTTGTGTTTTTCAAGGTTTTCGCTGGCTGTGTGAGACTTTGGAGTTTAGGATTGCGGGTTGAGGCTTTCTTTCACGGTTATTTGAGGTTCTAGGTTTAGCGTTCAATTTCGGGTTTAGGGTTACTTCCTTGGTCGCATCTCCTTGTGCCGCTGCCGCCTGTCGGGCGTCGGGCCGATGTCGCGATGGACGGCCTCTGGCTGGAGGCTATCGAGCGTCGGGACGGTGTCCCGACGGTCGGGTTTTGACGGTGGCCTGGCCTGGAGGCCGTCGGGTCGATGTCACCGTCCCTTCCGACCCAGGATCCAGCCCAGCCCAACCGTCCTTCCAGGCCGTCGGTTTGGTCCGGGAAGGACAAAAAGGTAAATGCACACGCCGAGCCATTGCAGCCGAAACCACCAAGCTGTCGTCGTCAGGAAACTGTTTGAGCGTCTAGCAAATTAAGGGTTTGGGATATATGCGTGTACGCTCTCTATCTATCTATCTCTCTCTATATACATATACATAGATTTGTGTTTATATACACAAGTATGTTTGTATTTACACCCTGTACCCTCCAATGCCTCAAACCCACGCCCCAAAACCCTTCAGATTAGCAGAGAGGCCTGAAGAACTGGCAGCACTAACCCATAGGGTTCCTTATGACAGTTGTACTTAGTATACCCTGAAACCCTTTTCTAGCTAATAAGGCATAACAAGGCCCCTAGACGAAACCTTAACCCTTGTCTTGTAGATCCTTTATAAGGAACCACCCTACTCTAATGTTTAACGCCCCTATCTAACCGAACGCAGAGAGCTTCAAATCCTGTATGGCTAGCACAAGCCCATAAGCCAGAAACCAACCTACACTCGGAAGTTTCCGAGACAAGGGGAAAACTGAACAGCCTCAAAAGCCCTGGAAGCCAAATTCCACACTTCCTACGACAGCACGCTATGTTGTAGGCCTTGAGGCTGCAGGAAGCCCGAAAGTGCAAGACCCTGCAAGTCCAAAGGTATCTCACACCGGACTCCAAATGCTCTTCGGATGCGGGAACGAACAGTCAGCGGCACGAGGGCCGTGTAGTTCTGCTTTCGGGCTTTCGGGTTCAGGGTTCAGGGCTATCTCAACGCAGGGTGTGGGGCTTGCGCGAAGATGCCAACCGTTGTCATGCTATATACAAGTAAGTACGTGCTAAAACCGCAAGGTGTTTGGGACACGGCGAATAAGGGTTGCGGACTGTTCCAGGCCAAAAGATTTCTCTCGATTTCAGCGTTTGCACTGCATGCTATGGCCTCGTTATTTCAGGAGGGGCACAGCGGGCTCGAATATCGTTTAGAAGGGTTTGCCGGATTCTGCGAAGCATTGTGCGGTTTGGCAGAGTTGCATGTGGTCCCGGTCTGGGGGCTTAAACGACCGCACAAACGACAATAGGTGTGTTTTTTTCTGTTGGCGGCGCATAGGTTGCTCGTAGGTCGTCGAAAATGGTGAAGTTCAGGGTTTGATGGATGGACGGGGGTTTCGATTTCAGGATTTCGTTCCCTTGGCTTATTAGGGGTCTTTCTGTGAGCCATTGAAATATGACAAGCCCTAAAATGCATACCATGTAATCCTAAACACTTCTCATCCCCCTCAATCGTCTTTTATCATTTCAGGATCCCATGGAAATACTGAAAGCGTCAGAGTCCCCGCGCCCAGGGTTCCGCAAGGTTTCCTACCCTATCAGAGTTTGCACAAGGTCGCGTATTAATTTCTCAGGCAGTACCCTTATGTCCTTTGTTGTTGTTGCGGGCATCCGCATTAGTATGGAATAGTGCGAAAAGGATACCTTCCCATTATTTAACTTGGGGGGATACGGTTGAGCCAAGAAAACAGAAGGGTGTGATAGGCTTTGCGTGTTCGTAGGATTTGCGGTGTTCGCATTTTGGGGGGATGGGGTTTTAGGATTCGCGGGTCTGGGGTTTAGGGTTGAGGTTCAGCGCTTAGGTTGTGGGTTCTTGGGTTTGGGGTTGGTTGTCTGGAACTTATGGGAGGTTATACATGTAATTAGCGGCTAATTAGCAGTGTTCGTCTGTTTTTTGGTACCATATGTGTGAACATGTCGGTAATATGGTAATATGCCAGCTGATTCATGCAACCTAAAACATCAGCCCTGAAGCCGAACATCGTGCAACAATTGCCCAAGCTCTGAAAAGCTGAATCCTAGCCTACACCCCCGTCACGCTTGTGCCACCAATGCCATTTTGCCACGTTCATTCCTTCTTCACGCCGTCATCAAGGGCACAGCTCGTATGGTCCAGCAAACTATACGGCAGGTGGTGTTAGCTGATATTACTGTTGCCCTTTGCTTGTCAATGTCAGTGTCATTTGCCTTGTCATCCTTTCCAACAAGCTTCCGAGTCCTAAGTTTGAACCCCAGACTCGAAGCCGAGGTAATTATGAGTGCCCACCTGGCTACTACGAGCATGGGACGGAAGAGGTTGGAGGTCTTTGCAAGTCGGGAGCCCAGCGCAGCTGCGGATCTGAGGTCCGTAGATCTACTTATTGAGGATCTGTCCTAATCAGAAGTCTAAATACCCGTAAGCAGAACTTTTGCTTGAATTCGCGATACAACGTTTGTAGACAGTTCTGATGTGTGATTTTTATACCGGGGGAGTGTGTAGAAGTCAAAAAATGAATTATAGCATTGCTCGTTATAAAAGCCGATCGTATGTGAGTCATGTTTTGGAAGATTCCATTATCGAGGCTTGGATAAAAGGCCGAATGTGAGCTGCTATCAGGACATTCCTGCTGCGACTGTAGAAGTTTAGTCTGTACTCGGAGAATCTCAGAAGGCGCACAGCACCCCCGGCACGTACTTCTTGATAGTTCAGGCCGCGTACTTCTTGATAGTTCAGGCCATGCGGCGGTATGTGGCATGCACACCAAGACACAGCTGCAGTTTTCGTGCCTGCTTGTAGAATCGGGATATCTATGTATCTGTTACATTTACATGCATAGCTGCATGCATGCCCGCTTGGGAGACGGGTTTACTCAGTCTCGGCCTGCCCGCATGCAGTTGTGATTCAAAGAGGTGTGATCATATTAGTTGTCTCTTTCTCAATGGCATCGCTTGACACGAAGAGTCTCGCGCAAGCTATATGCCACGAGAATGAGTTGGCGGTCGAGAAGAGTGCCTTGATTGAAGGGCGCGATGTGGTGTTCCTTGTCAGCAGCTGAAGATGGGTTTTGAGATGTCCATGTCCTTCTTTTGGTCTTGCTAGAGGCCCGCGGTATAGCTAGCGAGTGCATGCTGATTCGTTCTCACTGCAAGAAATGCATCAGCAGCTGCATCGTTTCCAGTCATGACCCAAAGAGCCCTACCCTGAATCCGACCCTGTCCACGGTACTTCAGCACAGACGTTACCCTGAGTCTTTCTCTGTATTGGGTTCATGCCGGAAGGTTATTCGTGGGCTGCTGTGGCAGTGGCAAGACCACTGTGGCATCCTATGTGCAGGGGACCAAATTCAAGTACAGCCGAGGAAAGCTGGAGGCCGGTTGGGGTTTACGGTTTGGGTTTCTTCAGTGGTTTGGGGTTCAGGGGTTCAGGATCTGCTCGGGTTTAGGTCTGGTCGTGTCTTTTCCCCTCAAATGCCCTAAGAGAAGGGTGAACATAAGCCGTATTTCGGGTCCAAAGGCTTCTGCACACAATGGACAGCGCACTGACGCACTGAGGGGATCCCTGTGTTTTCGCTGCCTTGGAGCATTGGAGTTCCTGTTACAGGCTTTGGAGATACTGTGGACTCGAAGTAACAGAGCTGCAGCCTGTACAGACACCGCGCAACGGACAGACGAAAGTAGGTTACCCTCACATGACATAGCTGTCATCTTTGCCCATGGACCGCAGATCTATGTTACTTTCCATTACGACGATGCTGCCGATCTCAAGCCTTGAAGCCATGTCGGTGTGTGTTCTTTGCTCGGTCTATCGGGACGCCCCGTACAGATCTTCGCAAAGCTGAAACCCTAAGTCTAAGCGGACATGCTGCGACCCTGATGCTCTAACACAAGCTTGCTCCGCTGAATCTTCTGGCCCAAGAGGCGGGCCCACTGCTTAGATGGATTGGGGTTCCTACGGATGATACTCTTGTTTACAACCAAGCTACATACACATGTGAGCGCATGGTCTCAGGCCCTAATTGAGGGATTATTCAGGAATGGTTCTGACACTGTGCACACAACTGCAGTTTTAAGTTCTCTCACAAGTAGATTCACGGTTTGTCAAGCGCCCTCCAACCCCCCCGGAGGCCCAAAACCCCAAGCCCGAAACCCTAATCCCGGAAAAGCCGTGGGAGGAAGAAACCAAGCTGGAGGGCTTTGCCATCGGCGATCAACGCGCCGACGTAACCCAGGGATTGGCCTTTGCCGAGGTGGAGCTGATGATGTCATGGTTGTTGGTGATTTCTTCAGGTTCAAGCAGCGGGTTTAGAAGTATGAGGAGTGCACTTTTGCACCATTAAAGTTAAGTTCGGTATGTATTTGTCGCATGGTGTGTTCGTAGGGTGTCGTAGTTATTTGGGATGATCCTAGCGTGTTGATAGCGGCCTTCCGAAGTCTTGAAGTACCACTCCTTCGAAGGTGTTGTTCGCAGAAATAGAGCGAGTTGTGACGACAACCCCGGAGACAGGGACCATATTTTTGTTTTGATCCGAGACCTGACGGAACGCAAGAAGTGTTCAGGTTCCGGGACAGCGAGGGGAGGTTGCGCGCTGCTGCCTATAGGCTTTAGGGTTTTGTCGCCATGAGGCTGAGTCAAGGATGTGGGGTTTGGCGATCGATAAGGTTGCAAAGGTTTTGGTTTGGGTAGGGGTAGAATGGAGGCTCGCGTTTGGTGAAGTGCATGTTCTCTTGTGATGGATACAGGGTGCATATAAGGGTAGGGCTGAGGTGGCTGTGTTCATAAGACCTTTCGCTTTCGCACAATGCGATTGGTTGGGTTAGAAAAGGACAGTTACGTCTATCTTCGGGCTAGGAACCGGAGAGTGAAGTTCAGGGGCCATCCGGTTGAGGCCTTCAAAGCATCCCGTAGGCTGTGATGTTAGGGAGTTTGAGAGTTTCGTTGTTTGGGGTCCATTGTGTGTTTGCTTATTTTGTTGTTGAGACTTGGGGATGTAGAGCAATGTAGAGCTATATTTTTGAAAGGTGCCGAGCACGGGCTTTTTTGGATTTCAGGTCTTGCACTTTGAGCCTCGGTCTGCGAATCTCCGTCTAAGCCACAGATGGCTAGCCCAATCTCCCGGACTGCAAAAGGCAACAGGCTATTTGGACAAACGGGCAACCCACATCTCGCCTTTTGGAATGCCACTGGCACGCATCACGCCCAGAATAGGAAAATCTAGAGACTGATTGAGACTCCCCAGACTCTGAAACTATTGTACACCCTATCCCTCAACCTGAATCCGAAGAATGTGCTCCACAAGGTGCCCGAGACCGAGGGCTTGTGGCTTGCAGACTCGGCTGGCACTGGAGCGACCAGTGGAGTACATGCTGAGGTACCCTTACCTGGCCTGGGGTTTCTGGATGCTCCTAAGATGCAGGGCTGCTGTTGCGTAAACAAGGGGTATGTAGAGTGCGAGCAAACCCCGATCACAACCAGACCCTAGGATTCCAGACGACTGCCCTGGCATTGTAACATGCATATCCAAGGGGTTCTCGAGATAAACTGAATGCGGAATGTGCAGAAGCTCTTGAGCCCCATCCGAGTCGCCAGCCGCCTCTTCGGAGCTTATCTGTTTTAAATTGTTTTGAGATGCAGGTGTTTGGAGCTCTGAACCGCTCTGCAGTGCTGCAGAAAGCCCGCTCTGTGCGCTTGGTGCTGGTAATCAAGGACGTTGTGGATTGCGCACGCATGGGACCCATCTGCCATCCGCAATGCATGTATCTGCATCATCTTCTGGGAGACGTGTTCATGTGGCTGTCTTGTTCTCTAGCATTGGCAACCGTATCGGGAATAGCGATCATCATGCTTCAATTTTCAGCAACGTGTGGAGTAGAGCTCTGTCTGGCCCTGTCTTGCAGGAAGGTCGCTTTGATGTCGGGAACGAGCGTGGCCGGCTGGTGCCTTGGAAACCGAATCCGCTGATTCAGGGCTTCAGCGGGGCTCAGGCAGTAAGGTTTGGAGCTGAAGGAATATTGGCCTTTTGAACTTGAAGGAGGGGCTGTCAAATATGCCGGCGTTGCAGGTCTGTTACGTTGTGCTGATATGAACAAGCCAAGGTTGTCAAAGACATTGAGCACGTGGCATCAATGTTTGTGGATCTCAGCGTAAATGATAACTTGAAGTCGGTGGGCGTTATCGTGACAAGTGACCCGAGAGGGCTCCAAGCGGATGGAGTGGCTGCTGACATCGTGAGTTCCATGAACGACTCCCTGAAACAACTGCATGGCCAAGCTGTTGTGGACGATGGTTTTGTCATCGTGGGTGACTTGCACGAAGGTGTGACACAGATCTGCTCGGTTTCGTTGAATGTTTCTGAGTTTCCTTCACAGCGTTAGCATCTGCTCAGAGATGTGCAGGTACATGTGACAAGACGAGCGTATTGTCGATATGTTAGTTGTGAGACTCAGGCGACTCCAGCAAGGCCAGTGGCATGAGGACATCGTCTGCGGGTAAATGGCTGATGCATCATATTTGTGAGAATTGACTCTTGCCTAAGATTTTACGCGTTGTTGATTGTTGATCATACCAGCACCTGCCAACAAGCAGGATGAAGATGAATTGAGTAGCATCCAGTCTCCGGGCCTCCGGGACTTGATTTTAACAAAACTTAGCCTGCCATGACTCAGGCAATCGAGCAGCCCAGACTGTCGAAGAGATGGATGGCACGGATGACGAAGCAATTCTTAGGGGACTCTGTTCAGCAAGGATCGCCGTGTTCCCGTTCAACATGCTTCGAGAGGGTCATCGGTTCTACTTGAAGATGTGGCTGCGGGGGCTGAAACCTGTGGAGCAACCGGCTACCTCACTCACATCTGCATTGCCAGCTGAAGCACGGGCGTTGCTGGAGTCTCACGTCTCCGATAGCTTCATCAAGTACAAGAAGCTCATTGCAGACCACAGTGGGGTTTGGACACGCAAAGAGATGCTTGTGCCGGAAATCATCGACGTCGTCAACCTGACGTTTGTTCTGGAGGTCACGGTTTGTTTCTAATTCTCGGCTGCCATGTTGATGTTTTGCCGACCTGGAATGTGAGTTTCAACTGTCATGTATTTCGAATTGATAAGTACTACCCTATTCTCCGATCGACCTTGACTGCTGATCATTTTATGGGCTGTATCCCTCCGAAGGCATGTCATCTCATGAGCATCCATGCACTGGAAAGGAATCCCGCCTGCTCCCTTCAGTTGAGAAATTCAGGACAGACTGCCTAAGGGCTTTGACGGGATCTGTCACAAATACTGCCACTGATGGGTGCTCCGAGCGGTTTTGAGTCAGAAAGTTTTCTTGAATCTGACAGTGCGTCCGTTGGAGTTTCAACGTCTGGCCTTCCTTCACCGTGCCACATACATCCTGGATGTTGTTAGCCCAGTCTTCCAATCCGGTTCTTTGCATCGCAGGACGGATTTGGGCAACCAGCTATTGCAGGAGAATCGACTCTGGTTCTGCACGGAAAGCTGGCGGTTGGTCTGATTGTTTGGCGGTTCATCGGCACTCTGGGTTGATTCCAATTGCGACAGTTTTCCTGCATACAGCTTGTTTCTTGGCAAGCTAGCCGTCGCTCAGGAAATGCGCTCGTGCATCTCCTCGCGGCTGTCAGAGGCGGCGCCCCAGCCAAAGCGGCAGGCGCCGGCATGTATGCAACGCTTCACGGGAAACCCTACCACGCCTGGCCAGCAAGTTAGATCAGAAAGACCCTGTTCAATGTGTGCCAAAAGACGGTCTTCAAACCCAAGCCCTGCAGCCTTTTCCTTACAGGTAGCATCTGAGCCCTTCGTGCTTTAGGGCGCTCCTGTGTCAGCCCTTTCACAGCTTTTTGTCCGAAGCCTCTGAGATCCGTGGTCGGCGCTTCTCAGCATGGACGGCTTCCGTCAGCAATGCAGCCGAATCACCTTGGAGGGGTGGACCAGCCACTTTGCCCGAGCATAGTTACACGAAATCAGTCAGCTATTCAAAACGACCATCGCAAGTTTCAGATTAGTACTGTGCCAGAGCCCGTGATTGCTGCTGCAGCTGGAGTCAGCTAGAAGCAGCAATAGCCAGGTTGATGCTGACCAGGCATCGGCACTTGCATCTGGTGTTACAAGATTCGTACAAACATGATAACACAGGTTAAGACAACTCTTCATCTCCAGCTGTGGAAAGACGACCGCGATTTTGTCAGTCTCGCCAACAGCAACCAATACAACTAGAGGCGTTTCAGCTATTGCACACATCCATGGCACTCCTTCCTTCTTCCTGACCAAGGCAAGCAAGCACAGCCATGATGCTCATGCAACATACGGGAACGAACACTTCCCAGAACTCTGGCTTTGCACCCAAGACTGTCAAGCTAAACCGGCTGTACATTTAGCAGCTAATCCAAAACAGGCAGCGCCCGAATCCCTCAGCTCCAAACCCAAGCTGCATCTCCGAGGCTCCACTGCCGCACTCGAAGAATGCCTGGATGCAGCCAAAGAGAGTCTCCGCCTTAGAGCTAATCAATGCAATATTTCTCAGCATTACGAAGTCTGTGGTACTACGACGTCTATATCAGCCCAAAAGGTAAAGTTAAACTTGACACTCAAGGATTACTGGGCAGAGCCGACTTTGCAGCATGATTTGCAAAGCAGGATCGTCGTCCTCGTGTGGTAGTTATAGCATCAGCAGTAGCAGTAGGAGCAGTGGGGGTAGTAGGAGTCGTAGGAGTAGTAGTGGTGGTAGTCGTAGCAGTACGGAGATTGTGAAGTCTGCGCTGATATACATCGAGCAGCAAACGTGCTGCGCTTGAAATCCACGTCGTCCTTTGCAAGGCTTTGCCAAGTATCTCCCCGATGGCTTTGCTTCGGCTCGCTGGGACTCGAACCTGGCATTGCAGGTGGCTGGGTTGAAGATGAACTTGCTCCAGGTCTTTTGCTGACGGCAGTTCAGGTTGCTGATTTCGAGGCGGGGCTTACAGTGTCAGGAATTGTTGACCAAAGATACGGCCAGAGGTAGCCGATCAGAGACGTCTTGTTGTTCCGACTGTTTCCATCATTTCGTGTCGTGCCTGGTCTTTGTGCAACTCATAGACTTCATTTCCTGTTGCATTCCCTTCGCTTGCAGTTCACATTGTGTTTGTCTCTGTTGCACAGTTTGGCAAAGATCCGTTGGACTGACCCAAGGCAGGGAATCGTGTCATTCTGGGCTTTCCTGGCACAGCGGCAAATTTGTTCGAAGTACCCGGAAGAAGTTGCATCCAAGGTCAGTGGCATTTTCGAATGTGTGCGACAGCTACAGCCTGGGAGCAGCGACCTCTTGCGGATGTGGGCACTTGCACTGCTTGATCATGCCACTCGTCTCCCGTCGAGTAGCAGATGCATCCACCAAGCCTATTGTACATTTGAGCAAGTCCAGTCGGATGCAACGTAAATATCTCTGTCGAAGCCTGTGGATGCCCGTAACATTTGACGACACCTTGCACCACAAAAGCTGCACCCTGAAGCACACATCTTACATTCGCTCGGTAGGCACCACGCTTTCAGGTCAGAAGCCTGCAGTCGAAATCGGCGGAGTGTGCCAGTGCGACTGGCACGGCTCAAGCCCTAGCACGTCTCGAGGAGCATCGAGACTTTCTCCCCGACATGGTGCCCAGGCTTCATGTAGACACCTGCAGAAGACTGTCCGGTTCGTGCCACTACATAAGTACAGCTGCTTTCATCGGTTCTTTTTTTACATATCAGACAGGAAGTGCGACATGTCTTCGTTATCAAGCTGTTTACGACATAAGTCACAATCAAGACCTCGATGCTCCTGAGGTGATTCCGGCGCTTTGCAAGTATGGGTGTGAGGCATTGCAAGGTGAAGCCTTGCATCAAATCGTGCAAGAGTCGAAGGATGCAGTGAGACAGCAGCTGCAGAGGCTGTCTGCCCAGGTGGTCGAGGAGACTCCTTCAGATGGGAAGCCAGTGCTGTTGGAGAAGCTTCAGCATCTTTGTCGGTCGGACGAGTTGAACCGGCTTCTCGAGGATGATTTGGAGCAGGCGTATGTCGTGAAGCCCCTCTGCTCCAAGCTTGCTCCGCAACAGGAGGAGATCGACAATCTGGAGGAGCAGATCAGGAACTCGGAGCCAGAGCAATGGCGCATAGCCTTGTTGGACCTTTCCCAACGAGTTGCTGCAACTGCCGACCTTGCCAAGATGATCTTGCACTCGAAGGACCTGAAGTGGACAGGCCTGCTGGAAGCAGTGAGTCAACACATCACGAGCCAGAAAGCCGTAGCCATCAGTGCAGTACCCAAGCTGGCCAGTCTATCTGGGTGTGAGCGGCAGTGGGCTGTTGTCTCAAACAGTGGATCCGGTACCGGCTATGACAGTGATGAGGGGGAGGTGGACAAGGAGTCCGGAGATTTGCTGGAAGGAACGGTAGAGGAGCTGTGCGAACTTGTCGCAGTGGATACACTCTTCCACCTGCTCGGACGTAGAAGTGATACGGCGGCTTCTGCACTGGTTGCAGTTGGCTGGAGTTTGAAGCAGAGCTTGAATCAAGCTTTGAAGCGTGCAAACAGAGCTCGTGACAAATCCTGGGTTCCGTCCTCGTCGTTGAGCACCGCGACCTTGTTTGCCATGCACTCACTTAACGGACTTGCAAAGGCGGCACAGACCACCATCGGGCCTTTGAAAGAACTGCAGGATGTCCCCGTTCACGGTTTGCCACAGGCCTTGGAAAAATGC